CTGGGGCTGACGGGAGAGGGCACAGCAGCCATGCCGGCCACACATATAGGTGGATGTAGGGGATCGTTCACCAAACCGTTTGTCTTTTCCTCCTAGAAACACCACCAGATTACACAGTCCATCAGGCTTGAGATGCAGGGAAAAAACCATTTCAGTTCAAATGCAAAGGCAGAAAAATACCAATGGCTCAATTCAAAGGCCATCAAGTAGGAAGAGTTCTCCATAAGGGGTAGGTCAGCATTTTTGTTCTATGTAGGTCTTCAACTGATTGGACAAGGCCCACCCACATTAAGTAGAGCAAACTGCTTTACTCAGTCTACAGATTTAAATGTTAATCTTATCCAGAAACACCCTTACAGAAACACTCAAAATAATGTTTGACAAGATATCTGGGCACCCTGAGGCCTAATTGAGTTGACATAAAATTAACCATCACACAAAGTAATCTCATTTATTTTCACAGTGATGATCTGCCACTTCACAGGATCTTCCCAACAGCTTCCGAATTAAATATACTGAGATAAGTCAAGAGGTTAAGTGGATTATCTGAGGTGCCAGCAAGTGGAGGAGCCACAACTTGAAACCTATGACTTCATGAAGCAGTTGTTTCCAATGGTTTCCAGCATAAAGGTTCCTTTTAAATAGCAACAAACACCACAATTTTGTTTAAATCTTGATCCAAGAAAACAAACTATCATGAAAAAAAATTTTTAACAACTGGGGAGAATTGAATATGATCTGGGCTTTAGATGGTATTAAAAATTATTGTAAATATTTTTAGAAACAATATGACAAGGTTAGGTAAAAACAAAAATCATAGACCATTACATGATGGTGTTTTGTTTGAGATGATACATCATTAATTAAGCTTTTTTAAAAACTGTGAGTTCTTCCAGACAGAACTCCATTACAGCATAGTAGCATACATGGCATACCTTTATCAAATATTGAATATTGACCTTGCTTTAATGTGCTGACTTCATTCTGAGCCAGGTTCTCCCCACATGATGGCAAGATGGATGCAGAAGCCCTAGCTCTCACATCCTCTCAGCATTTTGGCTAGTGAGGCAGAAAACGTTCAACTTCCTTACAGTCTTCCCAAAGCCCTGAACTTTGCTCTGATTGGACCCAACTAGGTTACCTGCCTTTATCTGAACCAATCAGATAAAGGTTCTAAGTTTAATCCTGGAGCTAAAAAATAAAGTCAACCCCATGCCATATGACATAGACTCTGGGAGTTGGCGATGGACAGGGAGGCCTGGCGTGCTGCAGTTCATGGGGTTGCAAAGAGTCGGACACGACTGAGCAACTAAACTGAACATTGGGGAAAAGGTGTTTGCCCAAATAAATGTGGGGTGCTCTTAAGAAGTCAAAACAAATGATGAATACCCCAAAGCACCAATTTTACCTCCCATATCTTCCTAGCACACCAGGTTTGACTCTGGGTGTGCTGTTCCTTAAGTTTGCAGGTAACAAGGAAATTTATCTCTTCATGGACAGACTATTTCCAAAAGACATGGAAGCCTTATAAGTAATCAGCTCAGGACAGTTGTCCAATTTTACATTCCATGATATTCTTCTTCTAAACAATTTATTATTTATTTCATAGGCCTGAGACTTTCTCGCCTTCCCTTGTGTTAAGCTCTCCATTCAAAATGCCCTCCCTCTCACCCTCCTTCATCTTGCAAAACTCCTGCTTAACTCTGATGTCTAGCTCAGATCCATTTTCTTCACAAAGGTTTCTCAGAGCTCCTCCCCATCCAACCTCATCCAACTTCTTCCAAACCCTTGTAGCTCTGCATACCTCTTAGGATACCTCTGCTCGTCTCAAGAATTCAAGGGATGCAGAGCTAAATGTGTTATCATCTTATTCTCCCTTCCAGATTATAAATACTCTGATGCAAGTCTGTTTTCATTCATCTTTATACACCCCCGTACCAACTCATTGTCAGCAGCCAATGCTTACTGAATTCCATCCCACCCAGCTTGTAGAGATATGTCAACTCTCAGAATGATTCTAACCACCATTAAAATAAGTCAAAATGTTCTATTTCTTTATCTGGGTTGTGGTTTCAAAAGCATCATTATTTTACTATTATTATTCATTCTTTAGCATGTGTACTATATATTTTTTTATAAAAGCAAATAGAAAAAAATAAAGCCTGCATTCTCATTAATTTTCCATCATTTACACATCACTTTCCTACGTGATGAGCTGCTGAATCGCAGAGGGCTCTAGGTAGATCATGCCCTGGCTTTAATTCTGTTCTGGATCCTTCTTAGGCTTCTTAGAACTCACTCAGTCACTGCTACCTTAAGAAAGCACTAGTTGAAACTTGATGCCTATAATTCTTAATTACAATTGCATTACTGGCTTTATGTGCATCTCTGCTCATTTAAACTCGATGCTGACTGACAAATTGTGCTTGTCTGCCTATTCGACAGTAATTTAGTCAGGCAACCTGCAGCTTGCGCCAGACTGATGAGCAGCTGTTTGATCTGTTTGGGGATGTATTGCTGTTTTCTTGGTGTAGGCAGCTTTGTGCTGCTGCTGAATGGATGGTTGGTTTCATCTCCTCCAGTGACATTGTGGTCACTCTGGATAGCCTTGCCTGTAACTCCAAATGTATGATTTTTAAAAGTCAATCACCTCCCATTCCAGACATATTATCACAAGAAGGGCAGGATGACATGGCTCATCAGATTCAACACAAACTCACTGCTGTTTTCAAGCCTGTGAAAGTTCAGGCTGATACCCAAAAGGTGGCTCTCCTTAAATTACAACCCAAAACCTACTTAATTGCAACACATGGTGACTTCCCTCTAAAGCCTTTCAGTAGAATAACCCTACTCATAACAATACAAAATACAATTCAGTACAAAATATTCTGATTCTGAACCACCCACTCTTCCTCTGCCATATCCCATGGTCTTCAGCCCCTTATGCATGGCAAGTTTCTGAGTTAATTACCTGAATCTCTTCAAGCTGTGAAGAGATCTCCCTCTCCCATGACTCACACTTTATTATTTTTCCAGTCCAGGTTTTTCACGGTCCCTATGGCCTGAGAGCAGAATGAAGGAAAAGTGTCCCTAAGGTATAAGAACTACTTTATTGAGATATAATTCATATGTCATGCAATTCACCCATTTTAAGTGTACAATTTAATGGTTTTGCATATATTACAGTATTAATTTTTAAATTGTGGTGAAATATGTATGTAATGTACAATCAGACATTTTAACCATTTTTAAACATACAGTTCACTAACTTTAACTACATTTTCAATGTTATGCAACCATCATCACTATTTTTAAAACTTTTTCATTACCTCAACAAAAACTCTTCTAAACTTCAGGCAATAACACCCCATACCACTCCTCCCAGCCCCCAGTAACTACTATTCCACTTTCTGTCTCTATGAATATGCCTATTCTAGGTACCTCATATAAGTGGAATCATACTACATTTCTCTTTATGTGACTGGCTTATTTCACTTAGCATATTGTTTTCAAGGTTTATTCACATTGCAGCATGTGTCAGAATTTCTAAAGCTGAGTAATATTCTATTGCAGGTATATGCCACATTTTATTTATTCATCTGTTGATGCACATTTGAGTTGTTTCTACTTTTTGGCTATCGTGAATAATGCTTCAGTGAACATGAGCACATAAGTATCTGTTTGAGTCCCCATTTTTTATTCCATTGTGTACATACTTAGGAGTGAAACTGCCAGGCCATACGGTAATTGTATATTTAGCTTTTTGAAGAAATGAAATGCCAAACTGTTTCATAGCAAGTTTTTTTCCATTTTTTTAAAAAATTTTATAGCCATCATTTCTGTGCCAGCACCATTTTAATCTTAGAGTCTGGGGTAGCAGTCTGCACAGGCAGTAGTAGAAAGGAAGAAGGAAACTGTCCAGTGTGAGATACCACGTTATACCACCACCCCTATAAGAAACTTAATCTGGGTCAGCTTTATTTGCAGATGTTTTCTGGTAGCCTCACTTACAGCCTATGACACTGAGGGACAGCACTGCAGGCCCTAAGGTCACAAAGATCTGTCCCACTTGAAAACATGGTATTGGCTCCTATTAAGGGACAGTATCAAGTGAACTGGTGAGTCACCCATGGATGACAATACAGCACATGAATAGCACAGTAATATATTTTATATTCTGTGTGTACAGAATTCTCCAGAAGTTGAAGTCAAATATCAGGGAGAAAAAAATCCAACTTTTGTAACTCAAGCTAGTAAAACTCAAACATATGCACTTTTTTTCAAATTCCCAACCTGCATACCAACTCGATATCATAACCAATACGGTCAAAGCCCTCTTCACTGAGAAAATAAAAGCAATTACTGTGGGCACCTCAAATCTCCTGCCCCAACAAAATGTGTCTTTATCTTCATCTGCTATCTGTCTCTCTTCTTGTTGCCTCTTCATCAAGACTATCTCCCCTCATTGCCTCCCTCTGCAATGTAGACATAGATTTCGTTTTTTCTTCCCTTGTGACTTGCAGACAATTGGAAAACACAGAAAAGCATAAGAATAAAATTAAATCCTACTTTTTACAAGAGTTAGACGGATGCTATAGAAAGTTTCCAAATAATATCTGCAGGCCCATCTCACAAGGTATCCTTTCAAATACCTGAAACTAAATCTCGGGGTGTATACTCTTTACTTCTCCAGTGCATCACCGCCTTTCCCTCCAATATGACTTCTTCCAGTTCAGAATTTCCTTTTCCCACCGATTCAACCTTCAAAACGGCTTTTCTGTGAGGCCATACCGCTGCTTCTCCCTTCCGCCAGCCAGAATTCATTTCTTCTGAATTCTCACAACACTCTGCACCTTTGCGTAGCGCTTACTTTTCATCTTCCTTCTAATTCCGTGGACTAAAGGGTTGACTGGGTCAGTGGCTGTGACGGGCATGGGGACAGGCGGGATCCAATAAAGACAGCAAAGCAAGGGCGGCCTGGGTGGGAGGGCTTGACCGGGATGCGGGCTCAGGAAGCAAGCGGAGAAGTCGGGGGACCTGGGCTCACGTTAAGCCCCCACGGACTGCTGCCAGATGCCGGCCCCACTGCGGGGGAGGGCCCCCCTATGGCCACGATGTCCGCCAAGAACGTGCAGCGTGGTATCTCCTATGCCGGCGGCCCTTCCCCTTTAGCCAGTGACCGACTCTGGGGTGAAAAGCCCGACTCCTTGGCCGCGGTGGACAGCTTCTCGGAGGGCCTGTCCCCAGCCCGCCCCGCCCCGCCCCACGCTCCACAGGCCAGGGCTGGCTTGGCCTGAGACCACGCTTTGCTCCGCTCCTTCCACCCTCTCCTGTCGCCCATTCGCCCCTCGGTTTTCCTGAAAAGCCCGTGATAAATCACATGCACCTGAACCCCGGCTCCTCGCCTGGCCTGGTACCTGCTGTGCGTTGGCGTTGGGACCTGGTTACCTCTGGTTACCTCTGGTTACCTCAGAGATGACGGGGAGAACGATGTCTCCCAGGGCTGTGGAGGACGAGCATGGCGGCGGGAACCAGCGAGCACCCAGGAAATGTCGCTGGAACTTGAATCTTAGCCCCTAAGGAAGACCGTCTTGGGACAGAAAGCAAACTATGACAGTGGCAAACGCTGTGGTGGAGGAGAGGGTGCGGTGTTCCGCCTGGTAGGATGGGAAGAAACGAAAACACTTGGGTACGTCCTGCCAGGCCTCAGCAACTCCAGTTGAAAACAGGTCCTTCACTAATCAAGGTCATTTACAACTTGCACATGCTTCTAGGGGCAAGTAGCCTAAACAACGTTTGCCTGAATCGTCTAGAAACTCCTGTTGGAGCTGAGTGGGCTAACACTGGATAGGCCCACCCACCCTCCACTGCGCATGCGCATGCGCATGCCCGCTGGGTGATGTTTTGACCCCTGCAGGAGCCGGTAGCCTCTTGTGCACCCAAAAAAAGCCGCTTTTTTTTTTTTTCTTGTCACAGCTTGGAGGTTCCTCGCTCAACAGAGGCTTTACCACTTTGTTCCTTAGCCCAGAAATACTCCAGCCCCTGGCCGTCCAGGAGGCAGATTTGAGGTTTGTCTTCCTGTCTTCTTGCTTGGCTTCCTGGAGGATAAACCCTCTCTGGCTGCAAACTTTACCTCAGAGTCAGTCATGTACGCCACACCTCAGGCAGGACTAGAACCCCATTGGGTAACAATTGTTATTCTACCCTTATTGTTGCCTGTGAACCTCTCTTGATTCTCTTGTAAATTATTTCTAGTTACTCCGTTGTGATCCCTCTCCTCCAGGAAGGAAATATTACTGCTTAGCACGCCATGGCTGGTCAATAAGCGTTGATTAACTGAACACTGAGACCATCCAGTGAGGGAAGCACTGGCCTAGTTTCCACGTGTGTCTCATGCAGGTGGAGGGCGACCGCAGCCTGAGAAAATAGGGCACAGAGGGCTGGGCGCTTAAGACATGAACAAGAGAGACCCGGACATGGAGGAGAGAAGCTCACAGAAGCTTCCAGAATGTATTTCCCCACCTGTTTCATGGTATATTAACTGTTTTCTGGCCCTGTGTTTGAGGCTGTGACTGATGGGCCCACCTGGTCTTTGTTTTTATATTTTGGTTCCCAAACATGGAGGATTCTGCTTACCTAGAATTCAAAGTCCTAGTTTAATTTGCAAGTAGATAAAAGATCATCCGGGGGGTGTTGCATAAAGAGTTAGAAAGGACTTAGCTTAGCGACTAAACAACAAAAAGATCTTCTTACGACTCAACTAAGAGCATTTCCTATTTCCTTCCTATGACTTGCATCCTCAAGCACACAGTCAGACATAGGAAACAGCCATAATGGTCATAAAATCAAACATCACCAGATAGTTTTCCAGTCTTGGCTATCTAAATACCATGTCGTCTGTGTTACATAACTCTTCCAGAACGCATGCTGCTTTAATTGTGCGGCACAGATCATGACAGACTGCTCAGTTTTTTAAAATCATTTTCTTCAGTGTTTTCTTCACTTTGAGGGCAGGGAAACTAAACATGTCCAGGTGGGGTCCAGGTGTAAGTATGTGTGCTAACTCCAGAGGGTCTGCTTATATATAAAATGGTTTCATTGCAGTGTTCAAGCTTTGAAAACTTGCTCTCTTGGCCCTTTTGAACAAGTGCTCACTTCCCTCTAAATATTCCCCTATCATCATGCTGACTAATGAATGGCCCATTGAAGTTCTTCGGGGATGGGAGGAGCCCTGGGAAGGATGAGGGCAGTCTCAAGACCCATGGCAGGTTCTGGGCTGCACCATTTCTTCTTCCCGGAGTCTCTCCAGAAACCTATCTTTACAATAAAGGGGCTCAGTCCTTAAATTATCATCATCATAGTCAGTGCTGAGATGATGGAGCCTCACTTCAAATTTAGACTAGAAACTTACCTTAAGAAGATAGAGTCTGTTATCAAAAGTTAACTGGAATTCTGAAGATGGATGGTGGTGATGTTTGTGCAACCATGTGAACGTAGTAAATGTCACAAAACTGTAAACTTAGCAAAAATTGTACGTTTTAACCATTTTTTGTATATTTTGCCAGAATCAAGAAAAAGTAACAGGTTGTCTTAACCTAGGAAGGATTGGGGTCAGTGGAAATTAGTCTTGTGGCTGAGATGGTAAAGAATCTGCCTCAAATGTGGGAGACCTGAGTTGGATCCCTGGGTTGGGATGATCCCCTGGAGTGGGGCTTGGCAACCCACTCCAGTATTCTTGCCTGGAGAATCCCCATGGACAGAGGAGTCTGGTTATCTACAGTCCATGGGGTCACAAAGAGTCCGACACTACTGAGAGACTAAGCGCACAACTTCAGAGCAACCGTATTTACAGAAACACTCCATTCTATTGGTTACTTCAGAGACTATCACCTTATGTTGATATAGAACTGCTTTATAGTTGGCAAAGCACTTTTACATACTGTATCCTAGTGGACCCCTGTGTGTATGAAACAAGTAGGTTTATCAGCATATTGCAAATGAGCATTGTTGTAGCTGTCTTTGCTGAATAACAAACTACGCCAAAACCTAGTGACTTAAGAAAAATACCTCACTTATTTTACTCACCAATCTATAATTATGGGCAGTGAGTGCTTGGCAGGGATGGCCATCTCTGCTCCTTGAAGCATTAGTTGGGGTGATTCGATAAGGACTAGAGAATCTACTCCCAAGAGTGGTTCTCTCACATGGCTGACAAGTTGGTGCTGGCATGTTAGCTAAGAGGTCTTGTCCACATGGGCCTTTCCACAGGGCTGCTTGGGATTCCTACAACATGGTGCAGGGTTTCAAAAGTGGTTGTTCCAAAATTCAGGACTCTCCCAAGTCTCTTAAGGCTTGAGTCCACAAGCTGGCACATCATCACTCGATCTGTGTCTACAGAGCCCACCAATATTCAGAGAACAAACATGAGCCCAGTCTCTTTAAGGGAAGGATGTCAAGCGATTTGTGGCCATCTTTAATCTTCTACAGGATGTCAAGGCTTAGAGTGGATCAGCTATGGTTACTCAGCTAGTAAGTGAGACTCTCTTCTTTCTCCACCAAACTATTCTGGGTTAGTGTGATGATAGGTGCACCAAAATCCATCTAAGTCATTTGAAATTATTTCTTTCCTTTGAAACGAGTAGATAATATATTCAACCACTCTTTTAAGTTAGAGTACAGAGATGAGTTCTTAAGAGTAATTTTTAAAACTACAAAATGCTATGAAACACATCACTTCTGAGTCTGAGATCTAAGTATATATATAAAACCCTTTATTTTTGTTTCTGCCAATGATTTAAACAGTGGGCTTTAAACACTACTTCCCATAATATTTACCAGTAAAATCCATGTGAATGCATTATGTGCCCTAAATCTAAGCAATCTAAGCAATTTTAATGCCAAAATGTTATGCTTTATCAAATTATCTCAAGTAGGGAATTCATTTGTTACCTAAAAATATCAAAGATTAAAAATGTTCTATTAGAGGTAAGACATCTTCCATGGCATGAAGGTCCCATTTTAGGGAGAAGCTCTATTTAAATGAGATAACCATTTTGCTTTGAACAATTGTATCTTGCAACTAAACTTGCTGGAAAGAAACTATTCCACCAAGTGGGAGATAACTGACCTGTGATGCTTCATGTTGACAAATGAGGTTGTTAAGCCATCAAGACTTGGGGAAACATCCTTTGCAATAGAGAGACCTGGCTGTCACCACCTTAACCAAGAGGTCACACTCTGCATCCATGTCACTAATAGAGGAACAATCTGATATTATATGCTTCCCAGCATGATACAATAGGAAATATGCACTTGCCCCTGTAAAGTATTCTTGCTGAAAATGTTTAACTTTAATCTACTTTAAGACCTAACCCCTTTTTCAACTGAGGTTCCTCAACTGAACCATTAATCACAGAAAATGAGTTGTGATGATTTCCTCGTTCTCTCAAGAATGAAACATAATTGTATTGTGTATCGTTCAGTCAGTCAGTTGTGTCCGACTCTTTGAGATCCCATGGACTGCAGCATGCCAGGCTTCTCTGTCCTTCACCAACTCCCAGAGTTTGCTCAAACTCATGTTCATTGAGTAGGTTACGCTAGATGCATGGGCTAGAACTCAATTTGCTGTATAAAGTGGGTGCCTTAGGACAATACAGCTCAGTTTTTTAATGGATCTTTAGTTGTGAAGGATCAAGTTAAATGAGGAAAAGTCAGACAGTGGTGAGTCGGAGGCATTCCACAAAACTCACCTGGTCTCGTCAAAAAAAAGTCATGAAGAAAAAGTGCTGGTTGTTAATTAAAAGGAAACTAATGAATTCTCTCAATAGATTTTTGCCCTCTTTTTTACCTTCATTCTCAAGGATTCATACAGTGTATACTCTTTGTATTAAGCTTGATTTGCTGATCATAATATACGAACTTCACCCAAGCTATTGGATGATTCAGTATCTTTCTCCTTTTTATGGCTGTGTGGTATTTCCTTATATAAATACACCACAGTGTATTTATCCATTTTCTTGCTGATGGACATTTGGGACAGTTTCAGTTTGGAGAAATGATGAATCAAGTTTCAATGAGCATTGTGGTAGAGTTCTTATGGTGTTATAAATAATCATTTCCCTTGAGGGTATACTGAGAAATAGAATTGCTTGGGTGATAGTCAGTATATGTTAAATTTTATTAGATACTGGGCAGGCAACCTTCCTACATAGTTGAACCAATTTACACTTTCAAAAAATCTGAGAGTCAGCGATTTCCTTGTGGTCCAGGGAATTTCCCTGGTTAGGACTTCGTGCTT